CCCCCCAGGCTCTCAAGCCAGGGAGGGAGGGAGGGAGGGGGAGCAGCGGCGCGAAACGGCTGTTTCGCGTGCCGCGGCCACTTGGGATCTCCCCCTCCCTCCCAGGTTTGAGAGCCTGGGAGGGAGGGGGAGACTCCGAGTGGCCACGGCGCGGGCGCCGCTTCTCCCCCTCCCTCCCAGGCTCTCAAGTCTGGGAGGGAGGGGGAGCAGCGGCACGCAAAACGGCTATTTCGCGTGCTGTGGCCGCTCGGGATCTCCCCCTCCCTCCCAGGTTTGAGAGCCTGGGAGGGAGGGCGAGTAGCGGCGCGCGAGCGGCAGCGGAGGTGAGCTAGGGCGGCCGGGGCACATTTTTAGGGGCGGCATTCTGGCGCCAGCCATGCTGCCTCTAAAAATGTGCAGCCTCGAGCACCAGCTTGTTTCGCTGGTGCCTAGAGCCGGCCCTGGCCCTAGGCCAGCAACTCCCCAGACTGCAGGGCCTGGTCCTAGGCCCACATAGGTGTTGGGGTTGCGGAGGGGCAGCCTGAGGGTGGGTAAAGGCAGCTAGTCCAAACCCCTTGTTGCCTGTGATGATTGGCTGATAGACTGCAGTCTGCCCCAGAGTGTGGGGGCTAGATGGTGACTGGCAATAGCCATGACAGAGGTGATGTGGGGGGTGGGGGTTCCCCTAGGTGGGGAGACCCAGAGAGTCTGGGGTACTGCTGGGGGGGCAGCCCCCAAGACAAGGGCACTGGGGTCTGGGAGGGACACGGGGGGCCTATGACAGGTGGGACACCTGCCCTGCAGAGGGTGCTCTGATGACTGGTGAGCTAATTCCTGAGATGACCAGTAGGAGGTGCTGCTGGGTAAGTCTGCACCTGATTACAAGCAGGAGTTAAAAAGTAGGGGGCAGACCAGGGAAGATAGCAGACTTGTGACCTTCAGTGTCAGCTGAAGAGAGCTGAAAGAAAGGCAGAATCTCTCCCTATGACAACTGCCAAAGGGTCCCTCCCTGAGGGAAGGGAGGAGCTGCTACAGAGAGAGCCTGAGAAGGAAGCATTTCTCCCCCTCAGGTAGACTCTGAGTTTTGTTAATCCCCCTTTACTTTGTTTGGACTACCCCAGCAGGGGATCTGGTCTGCCCCAGGAGAGTGGCCCATGTTGCAGGAGGAGGCAGTTGCCAACCAGGAAGAGAACTAACATGCTATATGTAGCTGCCAGAAGATGCTGTGTAGTGAGTGGACAACCCTCATGCTGCCTAAACCCAGATGGTGACCGGATGTCCTGATTTTATAGGGACAGTCCTGATTTTTGGGTCTCTTTCTTATATAGGCTCCTATTATCCCCCCCATCCCCTTCCTGATTTTTTCATACTTGCTGTCTGGTCACCCTACCCAGAAACAATTGTAGGAAGTGGCCTAGGAAGGGCAGCCTTAAGTCTCCCTGGCTGTCAGACTACTGATAGTCCTCAAAGAGCCCTGGGTCAGAGCCTGGTGGAGTGGGAAGGCTGGAGCTCCCCTACAAACAGCTCCCTGCAGGGCACGGGCCTAAGCCCTGACCACTAGGAAATGCTACTCTACCAACCCACTCCTGAGTGAGGACAGTCGCAGATGGGTAATTGTCTTCCCTCGCTCCTAACGTTCACCATTTCTTACCCTCACTTTCTGTATCATCTCTTCAGAGTCTACACTCTCTGGGGCATGAACTGTCTCAATGTGTTTGTTCAGCGTCTAACACAATGGATCCTAGATCCTGAGGGACCTCTGGCTACTACTGTAATATAATAATTAATACAGTCAGACAGCCATGTCTCATTCCACTGAATAAGGCTGCATTACTATATCCTTAGGGTTACACATCTGACCATACAAGTGACCACATGGAACAAGGAGAGCTCAGTACTGTGATGTCATGTTTTTCCTTTTGCCTTCTCCCAACCCCTACCAGCTATGCAACTCCTTTCAGCTCTTATGTGGGGATGTATCATCCTTACGCCAACCTAATGGAAAGTTCCATGAGAAGGTAAGGGTCACGATGGGACACTTGCCTGGCAATGGCTCATGGCCTTGTAAAACAAAGGCGCCCCCTGGTGGTCTAGGGATTATATAAGATGAGGTAAACAAGGTAATAAATCATGGCCTTATGTAAGGAACGGTTGAACCAATCGGTGTGGGGCTATACATGTGATAAACACATGATTCTCCTTCTTGTCCGATCGGTAGATGTGTGATTATAGCCTAATTGTGTTATGTAATGTTGAGAAAGACTATAAAAGAAAGCTTGTAATAAACAGATTCAGATTCAGCTTGCAACCACATTGGTCGTGTGCTTTATCCGCTCCGCATGGGACCCCACAAATGGTGACCCCGACGTGATTCAGCTTGGACATCACCCCACAAATGGTGACCCCGACGTGATTCGGCTTGGACATCGAGGCAGCCGACTGAAGCGTTTGGTGAGAAAAGGCGGAGGTGGCAGCCGCGGCAGGAGGTACCGGAGGATACCGGCTCCTGGTCGTCCGAGAGAGACGTTCGTGAGCTCACAGGTGAGCGGCTGCATTTGATGGCAGCCGCGGCAGGAGGTACCGGAGGATATCGGCTCCTGGTCATCTGAGAGAGACGTTCGTGAGCTCACAGCCGACTGAAGCGTTCGGTGAGAAAAGGCGGAGGTGGTAGCCGCGGCAGGAGGTACTGGAGGATACCGGCTCCTGGTCGTCCGAGAGAGACGTTCGTGAGCTCACAGCCGACTGAAGCGTTCGGTGAGAAAAGGCGGAGGTTGCAGCCACAGCAGGAGGTACCGGAGGATATCGGCTCCTGGTCGTCCGAGAGAGACGTTCGTGAGCTCACAGGTGAGCGGCTGCATTCCATAAAATGGGCTCTGCTT